CCGTGATGGCTCAGCAGTAAAAGAACCAGCCTGTGATGCAGGAGACACGAGTTCAATCCCTGAGTCAGGAAGATCCCCAGAAAAAGGAAATGGCAACCCACTCCAGTATTCTTGCCTAGGATATCTCATGGACAGAGGAGCCTGGCAGGCTACAGTCTACGGAATCGCAAGAGTTGAACACAACTTAGTGAGTAAACAACTACAACAAACAACAGCATACTTACATGCCCTGACGACAATCCCCTGTGCTAATGCCTAGCTGATTGACGTTTACTAGCAGAGTTGAGATAAGCCTGAGCTAGAGAGTTCAACAGGAAAAGGAAACAGGAACTCAGGGTTACAGTATTTTATTTCCCACTGGCATATGGGATAAAAGTTTTAAGTGAATTCTAGGTAAAGTTAAGGTACTATGTGGGGCTGCCCAGGTGACTTAATGGTAAAGAATCTGCCTGCCAAATAGGAGATGCTGGTTCATTTCCTGGGTTTGGCAAGATCCTCTGGAGAAGGAAATTGCAATCCACTCCAGTATTCTTTCCTGGAGGATCCCATGGACAGAGGAGCCTGGTGGGCTACAGTCTATGGCGTGGCAAAGAGTCTGTTAGGACTGAGGGAGTGGGTACATACAGGCACAGTTTTAACTTAGTCTATCAATTATGTTTGGGTACAGCTGTATATAAAAGAAACAATGTATTGATGTAGGGTCCTTCTTGGGTGAAAAAAATGTACCATTCTGGTGAGTGGTATTGATACTGGAGGAGGCTCTGCATGTGTGGAGGCAAGGGCTACATGGGGAATCTCTGCATCTTCCTTTAAATTTTGCTATAAACCTATACTGCTCTAAAAAAAAAAATACAGTTTCAAAAATGAAAAGAAATCAAAAATAATATTTTTAAACTACAATAGAAGTTTATTTTTCTTCTCATGTAAAACAAGCTCAGAGGTTAAAAGGCTAGATTTGGAAAGGTAGTTTCATGGTCACCGATGGCCCAGGCTCTTTCTCTTTTCTACTTTGCTAGCTTAGCACATGGCTTCCATCCTCACGTTTACCTCTTGCTCTAAAATAGGCTACTAGATTCCTCTTTATCACATCCAAATCCTAGGAGTGGTTAGAAAGATGATGGGAAAAAAACACAAGTGCCCACCACCAAATGAAACCAATTTCCTTTTAGCAGCTTTCCCAGAAGTCCCTTGTAACACTTACACTTAACCTATCTTTGACTAAAACTTAATCCTATGACTATACTTAACTGCACAGAGTCTGGGACATGGATTCTCTTTTCTGGGCACACTACTGTCGAGAATGAAATTAGGATCCTACCTACTAAAGAGAAGAGAAGAGATATTGAGTGTCAATTCACAGTTTGTGTCACATCCATTATGTTACATGTGGGATTTTGTGGGAAATTTCATGCAGTCATTAAAAATAATGAAAAAGTACTATGCCAATTAACTTGGAATATGCGTCGGGATTTTCACAAAGATCATTGGGTGAGAAAACTAAAATGGACAGAAGTGATAAAATATGATTTCATTTTTGAATAACAAAGTGACAAAAATCTCTAAATATGTATGCAGATGTACATGCAAATGAGTATGTGAATATGAAAAAAACCATAGAAGGGAACCCAGTAGATTATTATGTATTATTCTGGCAAAGAAGAGGAGATGCCTGTCTTGTGTTGTTCTATTGTTCCTCTTGTTATAGTAGGCCTGTGTTAGTTTTATAATTTGAAAACCATAAAATGTTTTTTAAAAATATGACAGCAGAACCAACCTTTGTAACACCTTCCCTTATATATAAAAATTCACAGTAAACAAGTCCCAGATGGAGTTTAGGGGATCTTAGTGAAGTACTAATAGGCTCTCAATGCAAACCAGTTTACCTAAGTTGTTTTAAATTATTTATTTTAGGAAATTACTTATTTAAGGAATATGTTAGCTGGGTAACAGTAGGGGAACACTGCATTCCTTTAGAGCTAATGGATGTTAACAAATGTTTATAAATATTTAAATATGAATAAAAGGAAGAATAATATCATGACAGATAGCTTTGCTGAATTATTGGAATATGAGCATTTATGAAATTAAACAAAATAAGCTTTATGAATTGCATTTAATATTTACCTATTTAATTCCATTTAGGACATGAATCTTTCATGAAAAGTCTTGTTTGGGAATTAGTCATACCTTGCAAGAATAAATCATATTCATGTCAACTTGGCTGCATCAAAATTTCATGAAGAAAGAGCTTCAAAATTGTGTACAACAACATATAAATTATATTTGATCCAGGTGTAATAAAGAATATGAAGACTATGAAAAAATAAAGAAAAATAAATTAATCCCCTACTGCAACTGAATGTCTATTTGGCCTGGAAAATATCCACTGTAGTGATTGACCTGAGGGGGAAAAAAAACCAGCAGCTAGCAATGCTGAGACATTACTGTTCCTGCACTCTAAGGTCAAGAGAATTTTCAATGATTATTTTTAAAAGTTAATAATATTATAATAATTTGCAAAGTAAAATTTCAGGTTCAAACTTATATCCAAATAGTTCGTCCAATAATGGCAATATTTGGTTCCTGCCTTTGTTGTGGCCAAATGTTGATTTTTCAATACTAGGTCATTTGGCATCAAGCAAAGATATACTCAGTAGACCACTTAATGAAAACATCCCATTGGGTAAACAGTGATGCTTTACTGAAGACAGTCCTTCTGGAACACTAATATGCATAATAAATGACTTGCAGGAGATTGTAATAAATGTCACCTCCTCTCTGAATAGTATCCTTCTCCCTCAATACTTGTTCTCAATCAAATGGGCATATTAAACCAGCATACTTACAGCCTTTCTGCATGTCCCAGGATCATGTTTTGAGAAACACTGATGTAACAGAAAATTCTGTTTTAAACTTGATAATCACAGGTATCTACTGTCTTCTTGCTTGTGAAATAAGGGATGGTTGTGCAAATAGCACTGTCACATACATAGACCTTGAAAAAAATTGCTACAGTTTAGTAAATTGGAAAAAAAAAATGAAATGACTCAAACCTAGGCCTGAACCACATATTTCTTACTAGTGAAATGTGGCCAACAGGATGGAGCTGGTAGATAAATCTGTGAGTCTGTTTTTAAAACTGTTTTAACTGTTTTGCAGGACTGGGATAGTATATTTTCTCTGTCTGTGGTGGGATTATAGTCAGAGTGGGGTGTTGGCACACAGAGATAAAGAGAGTATTCAGATTGGAAGGTCATGAGGAATTATACTCAAGAACCATGATTCCAGTCCTACAGTAACTCTTCATGGCTTCCAACTCCTAGATTTATTTTCGGTTAAAAGATGCAGCCATTTAAGTGATGTTGTACTGGGAATCAAGACAGGGTTTACATTATAGAAGACTTCAATTCCAGTTTCATAAACCTGTGTCTTCAAATAAAACCCCAAATGCAAATAATACATCTCTATCATCTTGTAAGTTATTTTTCTGCATTGGTTCTTTCAGTCTTCAGCCAGAACTAGATCTGGGACAGATCCAGGTCAAAAGAAAAAAATCCCATACTCCCACTCTCTAATTATTTTGCCTAGAATTGAAGTAGATATGTAGCAATTAGTCATCGGGGAACTCAAAATTTTCAGATTCACCCTCTTCATTAATCAAGTTGACCAAGTATTTGTAAACTTTTGGTCTGCTTTGTATCTCCCTGTTAGTAAGTAGCCCAGTAGGTAATCTTCCTACCCTAGAGACTACAGACATAAAAGAGGTTCTTAAAAGTCATCTAGTCCTGCCGACCTATTTGACAGTGAGGAAGTTTAACCAGCTTTTTTGGGGAGTTGCTCAAGGTCAAATGACTTGGGTTAGGGACAGAATGAGAACTCTAGTTTAGGGACACTGACTTTTGGAAAAGGAAGCTCTTGAGAAGTCCTCCTGAAACGCTCCTTGTGCGTCATTTAGGACAGTCTCCAGAAGAAATGCAAAATGGTAGTACTTTTTGCCCTGACATTTGGCTCATAGGACCACTCATAGACAGTGGTCCTAGGGGGGAGATGTGGTGGGGTGCCAGAACACTTGAACTTCAGGCAGGAGACTTCGGTTCCACTGGTAGTTCTGACACTAAAGAACCACGTGCCCTTAGTACTCAGGCTCAACTCCTTTATAGGAAGGCAACCGTCACAAACCGGCCCAATCGCAGTCATCCAATATACTTTGGTCCCTTTCTTCCCTCATTTGAGAATTATTAACATTAAAGGAGGAAATATAAGGTAACTTATCTAGAACATAGACAGTGCCCAGGACATCTTAAGGCTCAATATTTTCACTGATTATTATAACGCCAATTTTTCAGCTGTTGTGCCAGGCAACACTTAAGAGGGAGGGAGGGTGTGTGTGTGTGTGTGTGTGTGCGCGCGCTCACGCGCGCTAAATCGCTTCAGTCGTGATCGACTCTGAGGGAGGGTGTGTGTGTGTGTGTGTGTGTGCGCGCTCACGCGCGCTAAATCGCTTCAGTCGTGATCGACTCTGACCCTATGGACTGTAACCCACCACCAGGCTCCTCTGTCTATGGGATTCTCAAGGCAAATTCTTGAGAACCTGAAGTCGGTTGCCATGCCCTCCTCCAGGGGAGCTTCCCGACACAGGGATTGAACCCACGTCCCTTAACATCCACCTACATTGGCAGACGGGTTCTTTACCACTAGCGCCACCAGCGTGTATTTTTAGTCTGACACTTGACTGCGCATGCACGCACCTAACCACACATCTAGTTGTTTTCCCGCTTAAGCGCAAGCTCCGCCTCCGAGGGCGTGCCCCTTAGAGCGCCGGCACCACCGTGAAGCGCGGGCTTGTCTGGGTGTGACGTAAATTGGGGCGACAGATGGGGGCGTTTGCTTCCGGGGCCAAGGGTGTTTGTTTCCGGGTAAGCAGACATTGCCGGTGGTGGGATACTTTATTGGTTCGAAGTTGCCTTCTGGTCGGGTGGCCTGGGCCCGGGAAGCCAGGCATGAAGATCACCAGGCAGAAACACGCCAAGAAGCATCTTGGCTTCTTCCGCAATAATTTTGGAGTCCGCGAGCCATACCAGATACTGCTGGACGGCACTTTCTGTCAGGCGGCGCTACGGGGCCGCATCCAGCTGCGAGAGCAGTTGCCCCGCTACCTCATGGCGGAGACTCAGCTGTGCACCACCAGGTGGGCCTGGCCGGTCCGGATGGAGGCGCGGGGAACCCGCGAGTGCGGCAGCAGCCGGGCCGCTGCTCGCAGGCATCCGTTGCGATCCCTGGAGGGGCAGAGCGCCCCGCCCAGTAGGAGTTGACAGTTCGGCGGCGCCGAGGAGGAGGGTGGGCGAGTATCTACCGTGTAGACAGACAGTAGTATCGTGGGGTATTTGCTTGTCGTTAGTCTGGAGGACAAGCACGTGTCCTTTGCAGTCCAACGTGGCTTCCGATCCCAGTGCTACCAGTTTTGTGATTTCCGGCAAGTTATTTAATCTCTGAGCCTAGAATTACTCATCTGATTAAAAAAAAAAGATCGTAACTACTTATAAATTTGCTATAAGAGTCTAACGAGGTATAGTATATGAGGATCGTTTATTGGTATCTCAAAACCTGTCTCCTCGAAGTGGTTGCTGGTTGTTTGCAAAGCTTTTCCCAGTTTAAGAATTTTTCAAGCTTCACAACTGCCTCATGGTGTAACACCTTCTATTCCCAGAAAGATAAGGCCAGACTCGATGTTAAGAACTTTGTGCAAGGTCCTCTGTTTATTCAGCTGCCTTTTTTGAGCACCAGCCATATGCCAGGCACTGCTCTAGCCAGAGGATAACTGGGTGAACAGGATGATCTCCCAAACCGAATGGCCAGCAAAGTGCATAAAGTGTTAGTCGTTCAGTCGTGTCCGACTCTGTGCAACGCTATGGGCTGTATCCTCCCAGGCTCCTCTGTCCGTGAAATTCTTCAGGCAAGAATACTAGAGTGAGTTGCATAAATCAGCCGGTATTTGTTATGTTTGACTCCAAGTGTAGTTTCCCCATTTCCTCAAAGTGTGGGAACATGTAAGATGAAACCATGTGGGGTTGTTTGGAGGGAGGATGAAATCAAGGAAGATTTCATAGAGGAAGTGACTTGAGCTCAGTCACAGTTCAGTTCTAAAGGGAAGGACATTTTCTGAGTGAAAGATCCCTTGTAGAACTCTTGAACGAAGGAGTGGAATTGTGAAATGCAAGCGAAAGAGGTTAGAGCACAGTGTACACTAGGGAAAGGAGCTGGGAAGAAGATAAATAGAGGCTGCATAACAAAGAACTACTATTCATAAACTTAGTAGTTTTTTTTTTCTTTGTAGAATATTTCCTTTAAAAAGTGAAAAAAAAATTTAAATGACCATAAGACCACACCAATGACTTGCTACTGTCATTCATCCAATTCTTTGTACACACACACATAAGAATGGGCTCTTACTCTGCATATGATATTAATGGCCTGTATTTCTCACCTAATAGTACTCCATAAACAGCTTTCTGTATTCAGAACTTCATACAGATTTCATCCAGGCAGAGCTTCAGATGAGACATAGATACCCTTAATTTTTGATCCCCTTTGCCTTCAGGACTGCCAGATCCTGATGACGTGTGCTCCAGAGTTGATTTCTTCTGTCTATAAGCCTTGTCCATATAGCTCTGTCTGTCATAAATATTAACATTTTTAATACAGTCTGTAATGTACATATGTTTGAGAAGTAGTGGATGAAATTATATTTTGCTGCATTTTCCCCCCTAAAGAATTTAGCTTCTGAACTTCTGGAATATTTCATGCACAAAAATAGAATAGCATCACAAAATATCTATCACCCAGCTTTCGCAGTTATTTACATGACTATTCTTACTCATTTATTTCCCCCACCCCGCTTAATCTTACTGATAGGTTATTTTAAAACATATTGTTCTGTTAATTCTCAGTGTGTGTTAGGAGGTAAATGCTATCAGACATGATAAGTATCTTCTAGAAAAGATAACTGCAGCTATGTAAGGGGTGAGTTGGAGAAGCAAGAGAATGAAGACAAGTAAACCCATTTTTTGGTTAATTCTAGTCAAGAAATAATGGGAGAGGGGGAAGGCAGGAACCCCAGGGTTTTACAAGGAGATGTCACAGAAGTAAATACCAAGTTGAGATAGAACTACCCACCTTTGGGGCAGGGTAGAGGTGGGAGTGAGAAAGCAAAGATCAAATAGGATTTCGGATTTCTATACAAGGTATCTGAGAAGATAATAAATTCAAAGCATAAGCAAGCCCTGGAGAGGTTTGGAGACAGGAAAGTAGTTTGATTTTAGACATAGTGAATTTGGTGAAGAGCTGACGGCAGACCATCCATGGGAAATATTCAGTAAATGCTTGGCAATTTAGTCCTGAAATTCAAAATAACATTCAAAATGGGTAACTGTAGAAAGCAAAATCTCTTCAAACAAATAAACTAATGGGATAAAGGGGATGAGGCAAGGTAGAGACAGGCAAGGGTTGGCTCAGGTTGAAGAACCTTTTGATTCACTATTTCTCATAATTTTTAAGTGGGATAGAGGAAGTACCTGGGGATCTTATTAAAATACTAATATTTGACTCATCCATAAGAGGTTCAGATTTGTAGATGAGAAATTAGGCTTCCCAGGTGGTAAAGTTGTAAAGAATCCGTCTGCCAATGCAGGAGACGCAGGTTCAATCCCTGGGTCAGGAAGATCCTCTGAAGTAGGAAATGGCAACCCACTCCATTATTTTTGCCTGGAAAATTCCATGGACACAGGAGCCTGGTGAGCTATAGTACATGGGGTTTCAAAGAGTTGGACAGGACTGAGCAACTGAGCACACACATTGGTAACACTTTGAAAAACAGTAGCTTAATATGAAAATGCAAAGTGAGGAAAGTTGTGATTGCTTTTAAACAAGCTGGTGAGTTGAGAATCTTTACTTTTCTGAGCTGAAAATACTTTAAAGGTGTATCGATTTGTACTTGAAACAGAAGCCTATAGCACTCCGGTTGGGGCATCTATTGTCAAACTACTTAGATTCACATTTCACTCTACCACTTTTAGTTGTTTGACTTTGGGCATGTTACTTGAAATCTCCCAGAATAAGCTGTTCTAAAATAAGGATAATTTTAAAGTAAGCTGCCCAACTTTGTAGGGCTGTTTTGAGATAAGGGAGAATTTATGTCAAGAGCAGTTAGCATGCTGCCTGCTCATGATAAATGCTCAGTACATTTCAGCTATTCATTAAGTTCCTTCTAATTGGTGTATGCATTTTTCCAGGTCTTTTGAGAGTGAAATATTTACTGTATGGCTTGTAGTTTTTGAAAAAGACCTGAGATTGTTTTTTAATACTTTATGTGAATAACTGATATGCATCTGTTATAACGTAAGCTGCTAATAACATTTTATTTTCCAGATGTGTATTAAAAGAGTTGGAAACATTGGGAAAGGACTTATATGGGGCAAAGCTGATTGCCCAAAAATGCCAGGTTCGAAATTGTCCCCATTTCAAGAATGCAGTGAGTGGATCAGAATGTCTGCTTTCCATGGTGGAAGATGGAAATCCTCACCATTATTTCCTGGCAACACAGGTGACACCAGTTTTAAAACCAGAGTCAGTTTTAGTCATCTCTGTTTATACGTTATGTGGAGCTATTTGTCATTAGAAGAAATCAGATGGTTAGGCATAATGGTTTACTTCTTCATTACTGAAATTTCCTTTTTTTAAATAAAAAATTATTGACATAGAGGTGTGATGATATGTTTTAGGGCTCTTAAAAGGAAAGTAAGTAGAGCAAAGATTTTACATTTTATGTTTATACATGTTTTTCATGTTTCTATATTTCATACTATTTATGTGTATACATGTATTCATATATTCATGTGTATTCATATTTACGTATGAATGCATATATTCGGAGAGTTGTATTTCCTGTTATTTGAGACCATACCACCAGTATGGAACTCTCAGGCTTTCATGACTGGGATGCAGGGGAGGAGAGGCTCTCTGGGTGAGTATTAGTAAGCTCACGTCCGTACAGATTTTCTTACATATGCTTGTGGAATTATAAAATTACACAGTTAGAAGCAGAGCTGAGTGTAGAATCTGAGCCAGCTAGTTCCTACTTTATTTCTATTCTTTCGATCTCTGTGAGCATTCTTGACCCTTTCTGAAACATGTATCAGAGTAGGAATGATGGATATCACCTAACATGTTTACCTTTGCATTTGTTTGTATTTTGAGGTCCTAGAAAATTAGTGGTCTTAGAATATTGATCAGTATGGAATATTGATAATTCGAGTTCATATTGTTGACGCTTAACTGTGCTCAGTTTTTATGTTTTTCTTCCTTTGTCATAAAATATACTACTGTTAGTGAGACATACTGATTTGAGAAGTAAAACCGGTGATCTTTTATTTTTAGTATAGTCCTCTTTACGTTCTTAGAAATCTATTTAAGGTATCTAATTATTCTATTTGAACTAAATAATTCTGTGTTTCTCTTTAATAGGATCAGAATTTGTCTATGAAAGTAAAGAAGAAGCCTGGAATTCCCCTCATGTTTATCATTCAGAACACTATTGTCTTGGACAAACCTTCTCCCAAAGCGATTGCGTTTGTTAGGGCCGTGGAGTCCGGTCAGCTCGTCTCAGCGCATGAGAAACAGAGTATCAAGCAGCTCAAAGAGGAGCAGGGTTTAGTCAGAGACCTGGAACAGCGAAGAAGAAAGCGCAGGAAAGTAAGTGGCCCCAATCCTCTTAGCTGTTTGAAGAAAAAGAAAAAAACACAGGATATGAACTCATCTGCCTCGGAAAAGAAAAGGAAAAGAAAAAGAATCCGAAACAGATCTACCTCAAAAGTACTTTCTGAAAAGCAGAATGCAGAAGGGTAATAAGTCTAAAGACTTTCAAATATGAAAATAAAGTTCTTTTAGAAACTGTGAAAGTACTTATTTTGGTAAATGAATTTTGACCCACAGCCTTTATAAAATTATTTTTTAAAAACCAGTGGATGTGTTTAGGTGTAATCATGTTCATTTTTCTTACAGAACTTAGAGGGTTTTTTTTTTTTTAATGTAAAACGGTTAATCTCTTTCTGTCTTAGTGCTGTCCCTCACCCTCCAACATTATGTGGAGATGGTTTAAAAATATCTTCTAGTACCAAAATGCTTGTGACTTAAAAAGGGATAATCCTTCTCATCCTTTCATGTTCACAGAGGAACCGTACTCTTGCAACTTATACAGTGGTTGTAGAGTTTACCTTTATGTTTCCAAATAACATGAATATGTTGCTACCTTTTGAGCTGCTGATTATTTATTAACTTTCTACTGGAAAGAATGAAAATTTTGCTTACTTATTTTATTTCACCATTTTTCTAGTATATTAATATTTCAGTATTTTTACATCTCAAATTCAGTATTTTCATTATGAAGGCTATCAACTTTATTTACTACTGAACCAAGTAGCATGCTGTGGTTGACTTTATTTCTTACATTACTTTTTTTGTTATTTCAGAAGCTAATAATGGGCTTACTTTCTTCTAGCATCTGACTTGATCTTTCCATGTTCAATAATTCTAAAAAGGATCTCATAATTTTCTATATGATTGTTATTGTTCAGTTGCTAGGTCACATCCGACTCTTTGCAACCCCATGACTGCAGTACACCAGGCTCTTCTGCCCTTCACTATCTCCTGGAATTTGCTCAACTTGGTGTCCATTGAGTCCATGATGCTATCTGATCATCTCACCCTCTGCCTCCCCCTTCTTTTTCCTTCGATCTTTCCCAGCATCAGGATCTTTTCCAGTAAATTGGCTCTTCTCGTCAGGTGGCCAAAATATTGGAGCTTCAACTTCAGCATCAGTCCTTCCAATGAATATTCAGAGTTGATTTCCTTTAGGATTGACTGGTTTGATCTCCTTGCAGTCCAAGGGACTCTGAAGAGTCTTTTCCAGCACCATGATTAGAAAGTATCAGTTCTTTGGTGCTCAGCCTTCTTTATGGTCCAACTCTCATGTGTATATACCATACTGGAAAAACCATAATATCAAGTAATTTCTTTCTCCTGGTGATACTTCTGGAGCCAGCTGTCTGACTTCCAATGTGGAAATGTTTTCTGCCAGGTATATTGCTCAGCTGTCACCTAGGCATTTCCTGTCCTTATCCAGAGAATCTATTCTGTAGCCTAGATTCTTCTACTCTTTCTTGGTTTCCTCTTCTGTGGTAGCACATAGAGTGTGTAGGAGGTACATTTTTTGAGGCTCAACCAGTGTGTCTAAACTTATATTTATTGTACCAATAATCTAGCAAGATAAAGAATGCTCTATTCTTAATTGTTTATAAGACCCTAGGGGGGAAAAAATCCCTTTACTCATTTTGAGTTCCATTTGTCCAGTGGAGAGGGTGATTTTCTTTCGGGTATACATGTTAACTTCAATGGCAAGAATTCTCTTCCATTTTTGGAATTATATTCTCTCAGATTGGCTTTAAATATTGTTTTAAAATGTCTAAATAGTTCAATTAGGAGTTGAATAATCTAACTTTTCTTTTTTAGGCCCCTCCCAAATTGTTTCAATCATCAATCAGGCCAAAATTAAAATGTTTTTACACTGTAAGATTGAAGTATAAAGTTCTTAGATTGATCAGTAGTTCCTGACTTTGAGAGTCTGCGATACCTTCAAATAGTGGTTCTTAATCTATATCCTTATAATATCATGATCATGTATGAAATACTTCATGAATAGTTCTTATTTATAGCTAAAATAAATGACTTTTTAAAAATATGAGACAATTCAAATTTATTCCTATAGAAATAGTCTCAGTTGAACTCAGAGATGCTTTTTTGATGGGAAGTGGAATTTTAGCTTTACACCAGGAGCGCCACATAGGCTGTCTTACCTCTCAAGCCAGGTGAGTGTTTGCTGTTGTCATTTCATGATTCTGTTTTAAATTGTTTATGTAGGAACATTTTTTAAAAAGAAAAGCGAAAGTAGAAAAAAGTGAATATAGTTCTGTGGTTTTGTGAGGAGAAAACATTTGTCAGTAATGACAAGAGTTGAGATTACTAAATGTAGGCAGAGTGATAAAGCAAGTGAAATGTACACTGATGGTACTCGTTTCAACACTGTCAAGTGCATAAATTTTAGGTGTTTTTAACAAGGTTTATATTTATTCAATGCTATCTTATTGCCTATTAATAAAACTGGTGAGCTGGGAAAGTCAAGTCATTTTTATAAAATAGTAAGTTTTAAAATATAAAAAGTGCAATGCATTATAAAACATTTAATATCTTAAAACTTTGATTAGTCATCTGTATTTTTTCTTGGCAAAATTTACTCTAAATGTAACAAAAGGATCTCATATCTTTGTACTAGCTCTTCAATGAATATTACCCATTGCCACCACTTGAAAATTGCTAGTGCTACTCGCTTTATTTCTCTGTACAAATTAGAGAAAGAAGTGGTGGGTTATAGGAGTACACACATATAATCAATTTTGTGGTTTGGAAAAGAAAATGTTAAGAAGCTCTTTAAAGGATAGCAGCTCGCCTTGTTGGGGATAAAATCCACGTGCTTTTGCATTCTCTGAAGTTTGCTAGACTTCAGATTCTGTATTCCCTATATTTTCAAAGCACTACAGCCATTTCTAAAAGGAACCAGTTACAGCTACCTGGTGGCAGGTTGATTACATTGGATCCTTTCCATCATGGACAGAATAGAAATTTATCCTTAATGGAATAGAGCCTATTCTGTATATGAATCTTCTTTTCTTTCCCATTATGCTTATGTCAGTATTACTTAACAAAATGCCTTCTTTGTCAACGTGGTACTCTGCCAACACTGCTTCTGATCAAGGAATTTGTGGTATTAAACGGTCTTGCTCTAATATGTCGTTATGTAAGTAATGCTATTTTGGAGACAACACCTTGAAAGGATGGATATTCTCTTAGAAGAATATCTTACAAGACACAGTATAAGATTTGAACCAGAGGTCAATACATGGTGTGTCACTTCCATACCTAGAATACATGGAAGTCGGAGTAATTCCTCTTACTATTATGTTGTATAACCCACTCAGAATTTTTACTTGCCCTCACAACTTTGAGCTTTGCTGGCTTGGGGTGGGGTGGGGGGGAAGGGGGATGGTCTAGTTCCCAAAGGAGAAATGCTTCTACCAAGGGAACAACAATAATTCCATTAATTTGGAAGATGAGACTGCCACGGGCTCATTTGGGGGCTTCTTTTTTTAAACATTTTGGCTGCACTGGGTTTTCCCCGTTGCATGCGGGCTCCTGGCAGTGGCTTCTCATTCCTGAGCCGGGCGCTGGAGCACGCAGGCCCGGTGGTGTGGCGGACATGGGCTCAGTTGCGTCACGGCGTGTGGGGTCTTCCCAGCTCAGCAACTGAACCCAGTCCCCCTTACTGGCAGGCAGATCCTTCAACACTGAGCCATCAGAGAAGCCCTCGGCTAACATCCTGGCTGATTTCATGTGAGGCAGGACCACTCAGTTAAGTCACTCATGAATTCTTGACCTATGGAAACTGAGGTGTATGTTTGCTGTTGTAAGCAAGTAAATTTTGCAAGTTTGTTATGTAGCAAAACAACGAGTATAATAATTGAAGTTTAAAATATCAAATATGACCTTGTGACCAGTTACATAAATTGTGCCTCTAACAGCTATGAATCTTTTCTTTCTTGTTATGTGTATATGTATCTATAGCGACACGTGCTTAGTTGCTCAGTCGTGTCTGACTCTTTAGGCAGCCTACCAGGCTCCTCTGTCCGTGGGGATTCTCCAGGCAAGAATACTGGAGTGGGTTGCTATGCCCTCTTCCAGGAGACCTTCCCAAACCAGGATCAAACCCAGATCTACATTGCAGGCAGATTGTTTACCACCTGAACCACCAGGGAAGCCCGATAACTATATGTGTATATGTATATATAATATGCATATACACATACATTATATAAATGTTATACACATATAAATATATGCATATGTAGGTATAAATATACAATATGTATTATGTATAGAAGAATCATACATTCACACATATATTCTATCTTCTCCTTTTCCTAAGTATTTTTACATGTTTTTTAAATGTATTTTTTATTGAAGTACAGGTGATTTACAATGTCGTATTAATTTCTCCTGTACAGCAGTGACTCAGTTATATATACACTCTTTTTTAATATTCTTTTCCATTACAGTTTATCCCAGGATATTGAATATAGTTCCCTCTGCTATACATTAGGTCCTTGTTGCTTATCCTTTCTATATGTGATTCAGTTCAGTTCAGTCGCTCAGTCGTGTCCGACTTTGCGACCCCATGAATCGCAGCCCACCAGGCCTCCCTGTCCATCACCAACTCCCGGAGTTTATTCAGACTCATGTCCATCGAGTCGGTGATGCCATTCAGCCATCTCATCCTCTGTCGCCCCCTTCTCCTCCTGCCCCCAATCCCTCCCAGCATCAGGGTCTTTTCCAATGAGTCAGCTCTTCACATGAGGTGGCCAAAGTATTGCAGTTTCAGTTCAGCATCAGTCCTTCCAATGAACACCCAGGACTGACATCCTTTAGGATGGACTGGTTGGATCTCCTTGCAGTCCAAGGGACTTTCAAGAGTCTTCTCCATCTCCACAGTTCAAAAGCATCAATTCTTTGGTGCTCAGCTTTCTTTATAGTCCAACTCTCACATCCATACATGACCACTGGGAAAACCATAGCCTTGACTTGGGATAGCTTCCATCTATTAACCCCAAACTCCCAGTCCATCTCTCTCCCACCCACTACAAATTTTTCTTATTTGAGATTAACTACCGTTTAATCTTTTGGTAACAGAATTTCAGCTGGGGCTGAGATTGAAATTAAGGGGTAATTAGCATAGCCTA